TTTCCGTAGTAATTCAAAAGTCCCAAATAGGACCGGAGCTGACTGATGTTGGTGGGACTGGGAGCTTGCTTGATCGCATCCAACTTCTCTACAGTTGGGTGGATTCCTTCAGCACCTACTACATACCCTAGGTACTCTACTGATGGTTTATGCCATTCACACTTTTGGCGTTTTACTCGCACATTACATCTCTCCAAATGCTTGAAGACCTCACATAAAATTTCACTATGCCTCTGTTCAGATGGGGCCGCGATAAGGATATCGTCTAGATAGCAGACAACTGCCTCTATCCCCTGCAATATCTGATCCATCACTCCCTGAAATATCCCGGGTGCCGAAGATACACCAAACGGTAACCTATTGAACTGAAATAGTCCCAGGTGAGTGTTTATGGTCAAGAACTTTTTGGATTCTTCATCCAAATCGAGTTGCAGGTAAGCTTGTGTGAGGTCAATCTTTGTGAAAATCTTTGCCCCTTCAAGTGTCGCGAACATGTCCTCTGCGTTTGGCAAGGGATATTGTGTATCATCTAACAACTTATTGATTGACGCCTTATAATCACAACACAATCGCAAACTACCATTAGGTTTCGGAACTGGCACAATAGACAAACCCATTCGCTGCGTTCAACCTTACTGATTATGCCTTAATCTTGCAGCTTTTAAAGTTCTTTTTCAAGCTTTTCCTTCAGAGCATATGGTACAGGACGTGCTTTACAAAACACTGGTTTAACATTTTCAACCATGTGGATATGCGCATTGAAATCAGTGATTGGGCCTCCCTTATCACTAAATACCGTTTTGTACTGTTCTTTCAGTCCTGCCATGTCCTTGGCTGGACTGACACGTGGGTAGTCCTTGTCCTGCACTCTGAAGATTTTTGGCCAGTTTACCCTGATTTGTCCAACCAGTTGCGACCCAACAAGGCTGGTTTGTCTCCCTCGACAACATACAGTGGCAGTTTGTGTGTCTGACGCTCGTAAGTTACTGGTGCCATCAGCTTCCCCCGTACTGCGATGGGTTCTCCTCCATAGGATTTCAGTTTTACTGTTGATGGCTCCAGTGGCCAGCTCTCAAGCTGTTGGTGGTAGGTTTCCTCAGATATGATGGATACTGCTGCACCAGTGTCCAGCTCCATCTTAATTGGTGATCCTGCCAGATCAACGGTGGTAGTGATCCCATTAGCAGGTGAGCTGACAGAACTGCTGGTATAAACCAGATAATCTGATTCATCACTGTTGGTGTTGGTGGCTAGGCGCTTCAAAGGTTTGGTGGTTTACCCTCCTTAAAGATACCGTTTTTTCTGTATGCCTTTGAGATATGACTCACTTTTTTGCAGCAATAACAAGTTGCCTGCTTGAAGGGGCATTCTCTTGGGGAGTGTTGACCCAAGCATCGGTAGCAGTTCCCACTATCCTGGTTCAGCATTAATTTTGAACCACGACTTGCATGACTTCCAGTGGTTGCCGACTTCTTCTGATGACTGAAGCTCAGTTTGGGTTTTGAAGTAGTCACCTTTTTGACTTCCAGATTGGCTTTGGGTTGCAGCTCCTGGGCTTGCTTGTTTGCCATTTCAAATGCAATCGCAAGTTGCAGTGCCTTTTTAAAACAGTTCTTTCTCCGTCAGTAGCTTCTTTTGGTAGTGTTGATTAGCCCACACACTAATCTATCGCGAAGGACATCTTTCGGGAAATTCCCAAACTTATAAGGGAAAGAATAAAAAAGTGAACTTCGTATATGGAATTCTTTCCCTTACAGTAGTTGCCAGGCGTTTCAGTTCGACTACATACTGATTCACAGATTCCCCTGGTTTCTGGTCTTTCTTGTGGAATTTGAAGTGCTCTGCAATTGTCAGCGGTTGTGACGAGTAGAGATCTTTCAGCAAGTTTTTCAGTTCATCCAGTGATTTATCACTCACTTTGTCTGGTGACACCATGGACTTCAAAAACGAGTATGATTTCGGTCCAATAATGGTCAGAAAAACACTCACTGCGTTTGCGTCTCTGATGTCATTAGCGATGAAGAACTGTTCCACCCGCTCTAAGTAAAACGTGAAGCCTGAAGGTCTCCTTTCCTTCATCGAACTCGTCCACTTTTCCGATTATTGCTGCCATCCTTCCAGATGGAGTATACAACATTGTTGGTAGTAACTAAGTTTAGACTCGGGTACCTACAGGTTAGGATAGCCCATCCTCGTCGCCAGAATTTGTCATATCTTTCTGAAGTAGGTACATCTTGCAACCCAGGCTGAAATTGGCACGAAGTTCGGGCCGGATTTTCGCCTGGCCTGATTTCCGGCTGGACGCTATTTTTACGGCTGCAAGCAACCCGTCACATAACCGACTAAATTTCTACGGAGGCCGATCACGGCATAGCAGAAAGAGTACATAAACGTCCACAAACATATTACAGACAAAAAGTAATGTTCAAATAAATCCTTCTCCAGAATGTATCTTAGCTATGAAACAACGTGAACAACTGAGAATTTTGTTCTCTAACAGGAAATACCGACGGAATGTGTATGAATAAACAATTAGCCTTCATGCAATATGGATGAGGGCGCTAGTAGATACAATGATGGCCCCAAAATAATGTTTTCGCGAACGGGTTCGAAATTTGTATACTGTCAATTTCTCTTCTATTAAGGAAGTTGGAAGAACATGAACTCGGCACTTTCTAAAGAAGCATGGAATGTAATAGCAGAAATATAAAAGAGTGCCGGAAACTATTTAGAAAGTGTGAAACACGAATACGCCAAAATCGAAATCGCTCTATAGCATTGGGGTGCATTGCCCCATTCAAGGGAAATTCCTCGGCAGGAATGTGTAGGAGGGACCCCCGGGCAGACTTAATTAGCGCCCCGAATGATTCGGCTCACAGGTTGTCTCAGCCCAATTGATTTCAGGAGTCAACGCACCCGATAAGGAGCAAAGACAGAGAAAATATGTTTCTAGGCTGAAAGTTGTGCATTTTTGTATGTGAGTAGGAAGACAACAGCTGTCCAGTCTCATTCAATGCAACGACTGCCTATTGGTAATGTCTGTCAACACGTTATTTGCCCGCCAACCTGTACTGTGCTGGGGTGGGAAACACCAAGCTAATGGGCCAGCTGTGTTGACATGTGTTACCTATCTTTTATCGTGGCCTCGGAGGAGACCGCTGTTGATTTGTAAGTCATGACAACTGAATCTTCAAATTTTATGAAACTCACCTATACACTTTTCTTCCCCCTTGGTACCTCCAACAGTGCATGAAGACATAAAGTTATAAATTTTTCGGTCCATGTTGTTGCCCCCCACTATTTCATATACATATTAAAACACATTAGCCACAGGCCCTTTTGATGTTGCTGAAAAACATGCGTTCTCCTGTTTAAATCTTATTCATTGCAGCAAGCTTGCTGTAATAATTAGGACGGTTCGACACAATAATCATAACTGATCATTCTTAGAAGTTTGCTCGCAAAAGGAACAGACCGGTATATCCCTTGTTATTTACTTAGCCACATAGAAAACTTCTAATATCAACAAAAAATCATGATGGCGAACAATGTCCACTTCACTTAACCCCTAAACGCGACATTATACCTTGCAAACACGAGTCATCAGTAATCAATCAACAGAATTCCAAGCAGACACTCCAATATAAACAAACAAGCCCTTGCGTCGCCGAGTGGCAGCTAAACTTCCGATCTACCACAAACACCAGAGTACAGGGTGGCGGGCGAATTCCGTGTTGACAGACATTACCAACAGGCAGTCGTTGCATTGAAGGAGACTGGACAGCTATTGTCTTCCCACTCACATACAAAAATGCACAACTTTCTGGGAAGATCATACACAAGTCCTTCCTCCCTATCAACCCCGTTGAATTTAAACTGACAAAAACCATACTGTTATTTGCGTGCTGGCGCAACGACGTGTCAGATACTGTTGATACAAATCAGCTGA